CTGATATTGCAATCAATTTTTTTTGGTTCTTGGCTGTTGTTGCTTCGTGGTTCTGGATCGTCATAATCTTCTGTTTTGCCGCTCCTTCCAAATCGTGGATTTGATCTTGCTGTTGTTCGTTGGTTCGTGGGTATTGTTTCTTGTTGCTGCTCTAGTAAGTGTGATTACAGTTACTGTTATTATATTATAGTTATTATTATTATTATTATTATTATTATTATTATTATAATTATTATTATAATAATAATAAAATAATATTAGTGAGATTGTATCTGGTGATTTAATAATTTAGATGGCTTCCGAAAAAGAAAGAGATAATTTTTGTGTTCGTTTTACCGGCAAAAATTATTCGGCATGGGAATTTCAGTTCAAGATGTATGTTAAAGGAAAGGGATTATGGAGTCACTTAGATGATGTTTCTAAGGCACCAACGGAGAAAACTGCTTTAGATGCGTGGGAAACTAAAGATGCTCAAATTATCACTTGGATTCTAAACAGTATTGATCCTCAGATGATAAATAATTTGCGTTCTTTTTCAACTGCTCAAGAAATGTGGAATTATCTGAAGCGCATTTACAACCAGGACAATTCGGCAAAACGTTTTCAGTTGGAGTTAGACATCGCCAACTACGAACAAGGTGATTTGTCTATTCAAGAATACTATTCTGGTTTTTTAAATCTTTGGGCAGAACACTCTGCTATTATACATGCTAATGTTCCCAAGACCTCTCTTGCGGCTGTTCAAGAGGTCTACAACACAAGTAGGTGAGATCAATTTCTTATGAAGCTTCGTCTAGAATTTGAGGTTGTCAGAGGTGCTTTGCTAAATAGGAATCCTGTTCCTTCTTTGGATACATGTGTTGGTGAACTTCTCAGGGAGGAACAACGTCTCCTTACTCAAGGAACCATGTCTCATGATACTGTTAGTTCTGAGCCTGTGGCAATTGCATATGCTGCTCAAAGTAGAAATAAAGGTCGTGATATGCAACATGTCCAATGTTTTTCTTGCAAACAGTTTGGACATATTGCTCGTAGCTGCAGTAAGAAGTTTTGTAATTATTGCAAACAACAAGGTCATATCATTTCTGACTGTCCCACGCGTCCTCCACGACCAGCACATCATTCGGTGAAGGCATTTCATGCCACTACAGGCCATACAATTGGCTCTTCCACCACTGGTGCATCAGATGGCAATGCTCTACAACCTGAAATGATTCAACACATGGTACTTTCTTCCCTTTCAGCCTTGGGTATTAAGGGTAAGTCTTCTCATGTTTCTCGTCCATGGTTTATTGATTCTGGTGCATCCAATCACATGACAGGTTCATCTGAAAACTTGCACAATTTACATTCTTATCATGGTAATCAGAAAATTCAGATTGCTAATGGTAATACCTTGTCTATCACTAACGTTGGGGACATAAACTCGGATTTTCAGAATGTGCTTGTCTCACCTGGACTTGCTTCTAATTTATTGTCTGTTGGTCAATTGGTGGACAATAATTGTAATGTTAATTTTTCTCGATCTGGTTGTCTTGTGCAGGAGCAGGTGTCGGGGAAAGTGATCGCGAAGGGGCCTAAAGTGGGAAGATTGTTTCCAATACAGTTTATTTCTAATCATTTGTCTCTTGCTTGTCATAATGTTTTGAATTCCTATGAGGATTGGCATAGAAAACTAGGTCATCCAAACTCTTCTGTTTTGTCTCATTTATGTAAAAGTGGCTTGTTGGGAAATAAAAATGTTATTCCTGATGCCTCTGTTTCATGTTATGTTTGCAAATTGGCTAAAAGTAAGACACTTCCTTTTCCGTCTGGTGCTAATCGTGCTTCCACTTGTTTTGAGATGATTCATAGTGATGTATGGGGAATGTCTCCTGTGGTTTCTCATGCTCACTATAAATATTTTGTCACATTTATTGATGATTATAGTCATTTTACTTGGATATATTTTCTCCGTTCTAAATCCGAAGTGTTTTCTATGTTTAAGAAATATTTGACATATGTTGAAACTCAATTTCAAGCAAGTGTTAAAATTTTTCGATCTGACTCTGGTGGTGAGTACATGTCTCATGAGTTTCAGGAATACCTTCAACAAAAAGGCATCTTGTCTCAACGGTCTTGTCCCAATACCCCTCAACAAAATGGCACGGCAGAACGTAAGAATCGTCATTTGCTTGATGTAACATGCACCTTACTTCTCCAAGCTTCTGTACCATCCCGATTTTGGGTGGAGGCTCTTTCCACGGCTGTCTTCTTGATCAATCGTATTCCTTCTACAGTTATTGATCTTGATTCTCCTTTCTTCCGTCTATTTAAAATTCATCCTGATTATAGTGTTTTACATACTTTTGGGTGTGTGTGTTTTGTTCACTTACCTCCTTTTGAAAGGCATAAGCTTGGAGCACAATCCGTTCAATGTGCATTTATGGGATATAGTAACTCTCATAAGGGATTTGTGTGTTATGATGTCTCTAACCATCGTTTTCGCATTTCTAGAAATGTGACATTTTTTGATAATCAGTTTATGTTTCCCTGTGGTTCTCCTGCCATTAATGATATTGTTACTCTTCCTAAGTTTTCTATTATGTCTCAAGCTATAGAACGTTATAAACCAGGTCATGTATATGTCAGAAAAAACAGACAACAGGTTCCCACACCCCTTCCCGATGCTGAACTGCCACCTGATCCTGTACCGGTTGAACCACGACGTTCTGGTCGAATATCCCGCGCACCAGATAGATATTCACCAGACAGGTATGATTCCTCACATACTTCTCTGACTGCCACACTCTCTAGCATATCTATTCCTACTTGTTACTCACAGGCTGTTAAAGATGTGCGATGGATAAAAGCAATGACTGAAGAGCTCCAAGCTCTTCAAGAGAATTTCACATGGGATATCGTCACTTGTCCTCCAAATGTAAAACCTATAGGTTGCAAATGGGTGTATTCTGTGAAACTGAATTCTGATGGGTCCCTCAACCGTTACAAGGCTCGTTTGGTTGCGTTAGGAAACAAACAGGAATATGGAATTCATTATGATGAGACATTTGCACCGGTTGCCAAAATGACAACTGTCCGCACAATCATGTCTATAGCTGCTTCTAATGGGTGGACTCTTCATCAAATGGATGTGAAGAATGCTTTTCTTCATGGTGACCTGACAGAAGATATTTATATGACTCCACCTCAAGGCTTATTCTCTTCATCTAAAGGCGTGTGTAAGCTCAAACGCTCCTTATATGGTTTGAAACAGGCACCTCGAGCATGGTACGAGAAATTCCGCGCCACTATACTTGGATTCTCCTTTACTCAGAGTCAGTATGATTCATCTTTATTTATTCATAGCACATATGCGGGTATTGTTCTGCTTCTTTTGTATGTTGATGATATGGTTATTACTGGTTCGGATCATGCTTCCATTCAGCGACTTAAGCAACAGCTACAGGCCTCATTTCATATGAAAGATCTGGGTAATCTACATTATTTTCTTGGTCTTGAGGTTCATTCTACATCCAAGGGCATCTTTCTCCATCAACACAAGTATGCTACAGATTTGATTTCTATGGCCGGCCTTGAATCGGCTAATCCAGTAGATACTCCTCTTGAGGTTAATGTTAAATATCATCGTGATGATGGGGATCTGTTGCCTGATCCCTTATTGTATTGACAACTTGTGGGTAGCCTCAACTACTTGACTATTACTCGCCCTGACATATATTTTGCTGTTCAACAAGTAAGTCAATTCATGCATTCTCCTCGCCATCTTCACTTGGCTGCAGTTCGTCGTATAATTCGCTACTTAAAAGGAACCTCTCACCGCGGATTATTCTTTTCCGTTGGAACTTCTCTTCAGTTGAGTGCTTATAGTGATGCTGATTGGGCAGGGTGTCCTGATACTCGTCGATCTGTTACTGGTTGGTGTATGTTTCTTGGTTCTTCATTGATCTCTTGGAAAAGTAAGAAGCAAGCAAAAGTTTCTAAATCTTCTACTGAATCAGAGTATCGTGCCATGTCTGCTGCGTGTTCAGAAATACTTTGGCTTCGTGGTCTTTTGGCTGAACTTGGATTTCCCCAAACAGAGTCAACTTCACTTTATGCTGACAATACAAGTGCTATCCAAATTGTTGCAAATCCTGTTTTTCATGAACGCACCAAACATATCGAAGTTGATTGTCATTCAATACGTGACGCCTACGATGATCGAATAATATCACTTCCTCACGTCAGTACGCAGTTGCAGGTTGCAGATATTCTTACCAAGGCTGTTCCACGCCCAAGACATCAGTTTCTTGTTAGCAAATTGATGCTCCTTGACCAGCCGCATCAATTTGAGGGGGGATGTTAATTAGGAAATAATCTTTGCAGTTATTGTGAATAATTTACATTTATAGAATAGGAAATTAGTCATTATGAATTGTAATTAGTCATTATCAGCTATAATTAGTTATTATGAGTTGTAATTACCGACACTATTATATATAGTATGAAAGGCAATGAGAAAGGCATCAAGCCAAATTTCGTGACAAAAATAACATGCCTGTTTTGTATAAAACCTCTAGAGGGGACATTATCAGTAAAAAAAACAAAGTTTTTTTTTGACACAAACCAAAGATTTATTTTAGTCTTTGAAAATAATGTGGAACTCAGTAGATATTTTTTTTGCCAAGCCATAAATTTGGAAAAATCCCTTTCAGGCCGATTGGAAACCTGACACTTATCTATACTCAATATTTTCGTTATTGATTGGAGAAGGTATTACAACGAAGTTTCAACCTTGTTTCTTTTTCTTACATGTCATGTTCTTCTAGCTGTTTGTTTATCTGAAATTTCAATGAAACAAGTTTGTGTAAAGTCACATTAGTCATAGTTGGTGGGTTCATGACTTGACAAAGTCTATCCAAAACATCTCCTACCATACACTCACTCCTTGCTAATAATCTTGTTTTCTCATCATACATCTTCATCTCTCAACCAAACACAATCAAACTTTTTCAAAGATGGCTGAGGCTGTGCTTGAACTTGTGCTTCACAATTTGAACTCACTCATTCAGAAGGAGATTGGCTTATTTCTTGGTTTTCATCAAGACTTTAATAGTCTTTCCAGCTTCCTGACAACAATCAAGCCTACACTTGAAGATGCTGAGGAGAAACAATTCACTGACAGAGCTATCAAGGATTGGCTGCTTAAACTCAAAGATGCTGCTCATGTCCTCGACGACATCTTGGACGAGTGTTCCACTCAAGTGCTGGAGATGGAGTCTAAAGGACTGTCACACAATGTATAAAGCTCTTTCCGATTCTCTTTTCATCCAAAGAATGTTGCTTTCCGTTACAAAATGGCTAAGAAAATGAAGAACATACGAGAGAGACTAGATGAAATAGCAGAAGAAAGGAACAGGTTTCATTTGAAGGAGATTGTTAGAGAGAAGAGAAGCAGTGTCCTTGACTGGCGCCAAACAACTTCAATCATTACTCAACCTCAAGTCTACGGAAGAGATGAAGATAAAGATAGAATTGTAGAGTTTTTGGTTGGCGATGCTTCTGGTTTTGAGGATTTATCTATCTATGCAATAGTTGGTCTTGGTGGATTCGGAAAAACAACACTAGCCCAACATATATTCAATCATGAAAGGGTGGTCAACCACTTTGAGCTTAGAATCTGGGTGTGTGTCTCAGAAGATTTTAGTCCGAAGAGAATGACAAAAGCCATCATTGAATCAGCAACTGGCCATGCTTGTGCAGACATGGATCTAGATCCATTACAAAGAAAACTTCAATATTTTCTAAAAGGAAAAAGGTATTTGCTAGTGCTGGATGATGTATGGGATGATGAACAAGAGAATTGGCAGAGGTTGAAATCTGTATTGGCATGTGGGGGAAAAGGCACATCAATTTTGGTCACCACTCGTCTTCTAAAGGTTGCAGCAATCATGGGAACAATACCACCTCATGATTTATCAATCCTATCAGGCACCGATTGTTGGGAGTTGTTGAAACAAAGAGCCTTTGGACCAAATGAGGAAGAGAGGGAAGAGCTTGTGGTCATAGGAAAAGAGATAGTAAAGAAGTGCGGGGGAGTGCCTCTTGCAGCAATGGCATTAGGAAGTCTCTTGCGTTTCAAAAGAGAGAAAATAGAGTGGCTCAATGTCAAGGAAAGCAAGCTATGGAATTTAAAAGGTGAAGATTATGTCATGCATTCCTTAAAATTAAGTTACTTGAATTTGCCAGTAAAATTGAGACCATGTTTTGTCTTGTGTGTATTAGTAATAATTCATATTTTATTATATTACTTTCTTAAGCCCATAAATTTGTTAGAGGGTATTTTAGTATTTTATCTTATTCTAGTAACCCTAGTTTTAGCTTATAAATAGGGTGACAATCATTGTAAATCTTAATCCTGTTTCTTCTGCCGTCATTCTTAATAGAATATTTCTACCTTTCATCATTTATTCTACCTTTGCACCAACAATTGGTATCTAGAGCTCCGGTTCAAATTCATTGGGAAACACGGGAAACACGAGTGAACGTGAGGTCTTGTGTGTTTGATTTTGATTCTTAGATTCGTGTTGAATCTTGAACAAAATCTGATCAGAATTTTTTTTTTTTTAATTCTGTGGGTTGGGAAACACTGTGTGAGAAAACTCTGAGTGTATTGTGCAAAGTAGAAGATGAACGGAAACGGCAACATGAACACCAAACTTCCAGTATTTGATGGTAAAAACTGGAATCGTTGGATGATCCAAATGCGTGTACTATTTGGTGCTCAAGATGTTCTAGATCTTGTCACTGATGGTTATGTTCCAGTAGCAGCAGATGCAACCGATGAACAGAAAAACGCGCAGAAGAAAGTAAGGAAGAAGGATAAGAAAGCATTGTTCTTCATTCATCAATGTGTGGATGTAAACGTGTTTGAGAAGATTGCAGACTCTACAACAGCAAAGGCTGCATGGGACACTCTGGTGAGATGTTATAGTGGTGACGCATCAGTGAAGAAGGTGAAGCTTCAGTCCTTGAGAAAGCAATATGAGAATCTCAACATGAAGAATAATGAGAAAGTTTCTGAATACATCTCCAGAGTGATTCTGATCACTAATGAGATGAAGGCATGTGGAGAAACTCTTTCTGAAGAAACAATCATGGAGAAAGTATTGAGATCCCTTACTCCTCAATTTGATTACATTGTGGTAGCAATAGAACATTCCAAAGATCTGAGCACAATGAGAATTGAAGAGCTGCAGAGCAGTTTAGAAGCGCAAGAGTTGCGTTTGACTGAGAGAACTTCTGAAAGGGAAGTAGAGCAGCAGGCTCTGAAAGCAATTTCTGATAGGAGGTATCAGAAGCAGTCAGAAGCCAAGAGAAGATCTGATGGTGGTCAGAAGTCAGAAACCTCAACCTTTGATAGACAAAAGAATGCTCAGAAGGGAAAAGAGAAGTATGACAAGAAGAAGATCCAATGTTACTGTTGTAAGAAGTTTGGTCACTTTGCTAGAGATTGTTGGTCAAACAAGGAGAAGAAATCAGAAGAAGCAAATATAGCCAGAAGTTCTGATGATGAATCTGTGCTATTGATGGCCTCTGAATCTGATGATCTGACAGACTGGTGGTATATGGACACTGGCTGTTCAAATCATCTTACTGTAAACAAGAAATGGTTGGTTGACTTTGACTCTGAAAAGAGAACAAAGATCAGATGTGCTGATGACAAATATCTTAATGCAGAAGGTATGGGAAATGTCAGAGTGACTCTGAACAATGGGAAAATAGCATTGATTCAGAATGTGTGGTATGTACCTGGCATCAGAAGCAATCTGATGAGTGTGGGAAAATTAATTGAGAAAGGTTTCTCAGTTACCATGAAGGACAATCTTCTGAAGCTGTATGACTGTAATCAGAAGTTGATTATGGAGTCAGAACAGGGAAGGAATAGAACATTCAAGGTGAATGTCAGAACTGCAGACTCAGAGTGTCTTAGTGCAACAAGTACTGAGAAGGATAGTGAGTTGTGGCACAGAAGATTTGGTCATTTGAATTTCAGAAGCTTACAACATCTGAATTCAAAGAAATTGGTACATGGAATTCCTGCAATTAAGAAGCCTGAAAAGTCATGCAAAGTTTGCATGGAAGGAAAACAACCAAGATTGCCATTTGCATCAGAAGTTGCTCCAAGAGCAAAACATGCCTTGGGAGTTGTACACTCTGATGTGTGTGGTCCATTTCCAGTAGCATCAATTGGAGGGAATAAATACTTTGTGTTGTTTGTTGATGAATTCACAAGAATGACATGGGTATCCCTTATTAAGTTCAAACACGAGGTGTTTGATGAATTCAAGAAGTTCAGAATGAAGGCTGAGAATCAGAGTGGTCAGAAGTTGAAGATTCTTAGAACCGATGGTGGAGGTGAGTATAACTCCAAAGAGTTCCAGAAGTTCTGTGAGGAGAATGGAATTGAGCATGAGGTTACTGCTCCTTATACCCCTCAACACAATGGTCTTGCTGAAAGAAGAAACCGTACTTTGCTTGATATGGTGAGAAGCATGCTAAAGGAGAAGAAGCTTCCTCAGAAGCTCTGGGGAGAAGCTGTTGCCACTGCAACGTATGTACTCAACAGATGTCCTACGAAGAAGTTGAAGGAAATAGTTCCTATGCAGAAGTGGACTGGAGACAAGCAAAGTGTTAGTCATCTGAAGGTATTTGGTTCTGTTTGCTATAAACATGTTCCAGAAGCCAGAAGACAGAAGCTGGATGATAGAAGCAAAGTGATGATTCTGATAGGGTACCACAGTACAGGTGCATACAAGCTCTATTGTCCAGAAACCAATAAAATTGAATTCAGCAGAGATGTGATTGTGAAGGAATCAGAAGTTTGGAATTGGGATAAGTCTCAATCTGATTCTGATGTTAGAACCTCTGAAGAAAGGCCAGAGTTAAGAATTTCTGAAGTTGAAGTAAACCCTGATATTGACTCTGACTCTGATACTGATTCAAACTCTGAAGAAGACTCAGAAGATGAAGGTGACCCAGATGACCCAGACTCTGATGATTCAGACTCTGATGGCAATCCAGATCTTGGTGGCAATTCAGACTCTGGAAATATGCCAGACTCTGAAGATGGTCAAAGCTCTGGAGGTCAATCATCTGAAGCTAGAAACTCTGAAGCTCAAGACTCTGAACAAGTTCAGAGACCACAAAGAATCAGAAGCGTTCCCAGAAGATTTGCAGAATTTGACATGCTGCAAGACACTGAAGTAGACTCTGAAGGAGAAGTTATTCAGTGTGCCATGTTAGTAGACTCTGAACCTATAAGTACAGAGGAGGCTCTTAAGCAGAAGCTCTGGCTGAAGGCCATGAAAGAAGAACTTGATGCTATAGAGAGAAACAAGACTTGGAAGCTGACAGAACTTCCAAAAGACAAGAAAGCCATCAGCGTCAGATGGGTTTTCAAGCAGAAGTTAAAGCCAGATGGCTCAATTGGCAAACATAAAGCAAGGTTGGTAGCCAGAGGATTTCTACAGAAACCTGGGTTGGATTATTCTGAAGTGTTTGCACCTGTAGCAAGACATGAAACAATCAGAATGGTGATTGCAATAGCTGCTAACAGGAATTGGCCTCTGATGCATTTAGATGTAAAATCTGCATTTCTGAATGGTCCATTAGAAGAAGAAGTTTACGTGTCACAACCTCCTGGATTTGTGAAAAAGAATCAGGAAGGGATGGTGTACAGATTATACAAAGCTCTATATGGATTGAAACAAGCGCCCAGAGCTTGGAATCAGAAGATTGATTCATTTTTCAAGAAGCAAGGCTTTCAGAAATGTGAGATGGAGTACGGTGTCTATGTTCAGCATACTTCTGAAGGCAATATGACTCTGGTATGTTTATATGTTGATGATATACTATTGACTGGAAGTTCTGAACAGGAGATAGCCAAGTTCAAGAAGGTTCTAATGAATGAATTTGAAATGACTGATCTAGGCAAAATGACATACTTTCTAGGGATGGAGTTCAGATATTCTGAGAAAGGTATCATTTTGCATCAGCTCAAGTATGAATTAGAACTTCTGAAGAGATTTGATCTGAAGAATTGTAAGATGGTTGTCACACCTTCTAATACAAATCAGAAACTAGATTCAGACTCTGAAGGAAAGGATGTGGATGCTACAACCTTCAAACAGTTGGTTGGTTCTCTGAGGTATCTGTGCAATACCAGACCTGATATTTGCTACTCAGTTGGGATGGTTAGTAGGTTCATGAGTAAACCTAAGTGGTCCCATTACCAAGCTGCTATCAGGATTCTGAGGTATATCAAAGGAACTCTGAAGTATGGAGTGTTATTTCCCTCTGGAGGAAATAATGAGTCAGAACTTCTGAGTTATTCAGACTCTGATTGGTGTGGAGACAGAGTTGACAGAAGAAGTACATCTGGGTACTTGTTCAAATTTCTGGGAGGTCCCATTTCTTGGTGTTCCAAGAAGCAACCTGTTGTGGCGTTGTCAACCTGTGAAGCTGAATACATTGCAGGTGTTGTTACTGCATGCCAAGCTGTGTGGATTCTGAATCTGTTGCAGGATCTGAAGATTAAGGTAGACAAACCTCTGAAGTTGATGATTGACAACAAGTCTGCAATCAACCTTGCTAGAAACCCAGTGATGCATGGGAGAAGCAAGCATATTGAGACCAAGTATCATTTTCTGAGACATCAAGTTCAGAGTGGAGTGTTAGAAGTGGTACACTGCAGCACTCAGAAGCAGTTGGCAGATGTTCTGACGAAAGCTATCAAGACTGATCAATTTCTCAGATTAAGGGATGGAATTGGTGTTACAAGTTTTGATAGAATATGAATTAAGGGATGGTATTAGTAATAATTCATATTTTATTATATTACTTTCTTAAGCCCATAAATTTGTTAGAGGGTATTTTAGTATTTTATCTTATTCTAGTAACCCTAGTTTTAGCTTATAAATAGGGTGACAATCATTGTAACTCTTAATCCTGTTTCTTCTGCCGTCATTCTTAATAGAATATTTCTACCTTTCATCATTTATTCTACCTTTGCACCAACAGTGTGCACTGTTTCCCAAAGATGAAATAATAGACAAGAAGTTTTTGATTGATCTTTGGATGGCTAATGGTTTCATTTCATCCAATGGAATGCTGGAAGCAGAAGATATTGGCAATGAGGTGTGGAATGAGTTATATTGGAGATCATTTTTTCAAGATATTAAGGTAGATGAATTTGGTGAAATTGAAAATTTTAAAATGCACGACCTTTTTCATGATCTTGCTCAATCTATTGCAGAAGAGGTTAGTGGTTGTATTACAAAACCAAGCCTATCTAAAAGAATCTGCCTGTGAATAAGGGTTTGTTCCTAGAATAAGGGTTTGTTTCTAGAATAAAGGAAACAAATTAGAAATTGACTTGTTCTCATTAAAATGTAATTATTTAGTGTAATTACCAATATAGCCCTGTAACCTCTATATATACGAGAGAAAAGTATGAAGCCAAGAATTCTTGACATGGTATCAGCCTCGTAGATCAAATCTGTGATTTTCTGGTTCTGATTTTTTTCTCTCTTGGTTCTGTGACAACATCCTGATCAATTCAGTTTGTTGTTTCTTCGTTTCTGGTTCTTGATCGTTCCCCGTGGAATTCGTTTAGCGTCGATTGCCATCATGATTCTGGGTTTAGGGCTTCGGCTCCTAAAGTGGGAAGATTGTTTCCACTCCAGTTTAGCTCTAGTCATTTATCCTTTGCATGTAATATTGTTTTGAACTCTTATGAGGATTGGCATAGAAAATTAGGCCATCCAAATTCTGTTGTTTTGTCTCATTTATTTAAAACTGGTTTGTTGGTAAATAAACATGCGTGTACTACTCCTATTTCATGTTCTGTTTGCAAATTGGCTAAAAGTAAAATCCTCCCTTTTCCGTCAGGCGCTCATCGTGCTTCTACTTGTTTTGAGATGATTCATAGTGATGTGTGGGGAATGTCTCCTGCAACATCTCATGCTCACTATAAATATTTTGTCACATTTATTGATGATTACAGCCGCTTTACTTGGATATATTTTCTTAGATCTAAGTCTGAAGTGTTTTCTATGTTTCAGAAGTTTTTGACATATGTTGAAAATCAATTTCAAGCAAGTGTTAAAATTTTTCGATCTGACTCGGGAGGTGAGTATATGTCTCATGCATTTCAGGAATACCTTCAACAAAAAGGGATCTTGTCTCAACGGTCTTGTCCCAATACCCCTCAACAAAACGGGATGGCAGAGCGAAAGAATCGTCATTTGCTTGATGTAACACGCACATTACTTCTTCAAGCTTCTGTGCCATCCCGATTTTGGGTTGAGGCTCTTTCCACAGCCGTATTCTTGATCAATCGTCTTCCTTCTACGGTTATTGATTTTGATTCTCCCTTCTTTCGCCTTTTTAAAATTCAGCCTAGTTATAATGATTTACATATTTTTGGATGTGTTTGTTTTGTGCACTTACCTTCATTTGAAAGACATAAGCTTGGAGCACAGTCTATTCAATGTGCGTTTATGGGGTATAGTCACTCACATAAGGGATTTGTGTGTTATGATGTCACTAACCATCGTTTTCGCATTTATAGGAATGTGACATTTTTTGATAATCAGTTTATGTTTCCATGCGTTTCTCCTGTCATGAATGATATTGTTACTCTTCCTAAGTTCTCTATTATGCCTCAATCTATAGAGCGTTATAAACCAGGTCATGTATATGTCAGAAAACACAAACAGCAGGTTCCCACACCCCTTCCCGACGCTGAACCGCCACCTGATCCTGTAACGGTTGAACCACAACGTTCTGTTCAAATATCTCGAGCACCAGACAGATATTCACCAGACAGGTATGATTCAGCACATACTTCTCTGACTGCCACCCTCTCTGGCATATCTATCCCTACTTGTTATTCACAGACTGTTAAAGATGTACGTTGGATAAAAGCAATGAATGAGGAACTTCAAGCTCTTCAAGAGAATTTCACATGGGATATTGTCTCTTGTCCTCCAGATGTCAAACCCATTGGCTGCAAATGGGTGTATTCTGTGAAATTGAATTCGGATGGGTCCCTCAACCGTTTCAAGGCTCGCTTGGTTGCCTTAGGAAACAAGCAGGAATATGGAATTGATTATGATGAGACATTTGCACCGGTTGCTAAAATGACATCCGTTCGTACGGTACTCTCTATAGCTGCTTCTAACGGGTGGGCTCTTTATCAATTAGATGTGAAAAATGCTTTTCTTCATGGTGACCTCGCGGAAGACATTTATATGACTCCTCCTCAAGGTTTATTTTCATCATCTAAGGGTGTGTGCAAGCTTAAACGCTCCTTATACGGTTTGAAACAAGCACCTAGAGCATGGTATGAAAAATTTCGCTCCACTCTACTTGGGTTCTCCTTTACTCAGAGTCAGTATGATTTTTCTCTATTTATTCATAGAACGTCTACTGGAATTGTCCTACTTCTTCTGTATGTTGATGATATGATTATTACTGGTTCTGATCATGCTTCCATTCAAAGCCTTAAACAGCAGTTACAAGCAGCGTTTCATATGAAAGATCTTGGTAATTTGCATTATTTTCTTGGTCTTGAGGTTCATTCTACATCCAAGGGCATATTCCTCCATCAACACAAGTATGCCACAGATTTAATTTCCATGGCTGGTCTCCAATCGGCTAATCCAGTGGATACTCCGCTTGAGGTTAATGTTAAATATCATCGTGATGATGGTGATCTGTTGCCTGATCCCTTATTGTATCGTCAACTCGTGGGTAGCCTTAATTACTTGACTATTACTCGCCCTGACATATCGTTTGCTGTTCAACAAGTAAGTCAATTCATGCACTCTCCTCGCCACCTTCACTTGGCAGCAGTTCGTCGTATAATTCGTTACTTGAAGGGAAGCTCTCATCGTGGTTTATTCTTTCCTAGTGGAGTTGCTCCTAAATTGAGTGCTTATAGTGATGCAGATTGGGAAGGGTGTCCTGATACTCGACGATCTGTCACTGGTTGGTGCATGTTTCTTGGCTCTTCATTGATCTCATGGAAAAGTAAGAAACAAGCGAGAGTCTCTAAATCTTCTACTGAATCTGAGTATCGTGCCATGTCTGCTGCTTGTTCTGAAATAATTTGGCTTCGTGGTCTTTTGGCTGAACTTGGATTTCCTCAAATAGAGCCAACTTCGCTTTATGCTGACAATACAAGTGCCATCCAAATTGTTGCGAATCCTGTTTTTCATGAACGCACCAAACATATTGAAGTTGACTGTCACTCAATTCGTGATGCTTATGATGACCGAATCATATCACTTCCTCATGTCAGTACTCAGTTGCAGATTGCAGATATTCTTACCAAGGCTGTCCCGCGTCCACGTCATCAGTTTCTTGTTAGCAAATTGATGCTTATTGACAAGCAGCATCAATTTGAGGGGGGATGTGAATAAGGGTTTGTTCCTAGAATAAGGGTTTGTTTCTAGAATAAAGGAAACAAATTAGAAATTGACTTGTTCTCATTAAAATGTAATTATTTAGTGTAATTACCAATATAGTCCTGTAACCTCTATATATACGAGAGAAAAGTATGAAGCCAAGAATTCTTGACACCGCCACCTCTCAATGTATAATAGGAATTCATTGGGGTTAGTCGGTTCAATACAATTGCATGAGATCATATCATTGAAGACTCTTATAATGCCTCCGTACAATTGTTCACAACATCAAGTACTAAAATGTTATTCTTTACTGGTACTTTACTACCTAAGTATGACAGAGTTGCCGGCTTTAATTTGTCATTTAAAATATCTAAGATACTTAAATCTTTCTTTCGGCGAATTCAAAACTCTTCCAGAATCTTTATGTACGTTGTGGAACTTACAGATTTTAAATTTAGATTATTGTTTCAGACTCCAAAGTTTGCCCAATAGGTTGGTACAGTTGAAAGCTCTACAACATCTATCTTTGAAGCGCTGTCCCTCACTATCAAGTTTGCCACCACATATAAGAAAATTGGCTTCTCTAAAAACTTTAACCATGTATGTTGTTGGCAAGGAAAAAGGGTTTCTTTTGGAGGAACTAGGTGAAATATATCTTATAGGAGACCTTTCCATTAGTCACTTAGTTTCAAGAATCATAAAGAGCTAAGTTTCTTTCCAGATGGGATGCTAAGAGACCTCACTTGTCTAAAGAATCTTGAAATTTGTGGCCTTTCCAAACTTGAGCAGCTCCCTGATGAAGTATTACAAGGGTCTGCTCTTCAATCTTTGACATTGGGTAAACTTCCAAATCTGGCATCCTTACCTGAGTGGTTAGGAAACCTAGGCTTGCTTCACAAACTGGAGATTTATAATTGTCCAAAGCTAACATGTCTTCCCATCAGCATTCAACGCTTTACTAGTCTGAGAAGTTTGGAAATTTACTATTGCAGTGAGTTGGTGAAACGATGTAAAGAGAACACTGGCGAGGATTGGCACAAAATCGCTCACATTCCAGATATTGACATGGAGTAGGAGTATAGATTATGGCTGATATTTAATTATGTTATTGTATTTGTTTATATGCACGTGTAAGTTAATTCTTTTTTATTTGTTTTAAACTTTTCCTTTATAATGTATTCAATCTCTATGAATAAAAATCTTGATTCTAATTCTTGTGTTTATTACCTATTGCCGTTATTATAACGAATGCATCGTTAGTATTAATAATAATGATTAATGCTAATAAATAATATTAAACCCATGATTTTATTGGTTTTATCCATCCATTGAGACCAATCATCCATTAGTGTTGTATATACTACGGACGGTATTTATGTAAAGCTAAGCAATTTGTTTGTTTTTGTGCGAAATTGAAAATATGGATTTAACTCGAGTTTTAATAACGAAAGGGCAAAATATGAATTTCATCTATCTATCTTACTCTTATAAATTATAATATTTCGTTGTGATGTGAAAAATATTTTTAGCAGCAAAAATGAGTTAGAGGCAACTCGCTATCGCATGTCAAACATCGGATTTCTAACTTGTAACTTGTTATTGTCTACGTGATATAAATTACAACTTTGAAATCCTTTTTAGAGAATAGTGTTTTCTTATTTAATTTATAAAAAGATTTCGTTGTTTTAAAATATTAAAAATCTGAATTTCTTAGTTAAATATCATTTTTGCTCTTTCGAATCTTAAATCAATATTTGTGTTTCTACTATCATAATGAAACTTTTATTTAAAAACATAATTGTTAGAGCATAACAATGATTTTTGTTACAACTTATTTAGCCAGCAATTTATGAGTTTCAGACCACAAAGCTACTTATACATGTTAAAAGTTGTAAG